GCGCGGAAGGTGATTCGTGTGTGTTAGACGATCCACGCATGCGTAGGTAACAATGTGTACGTACTTTCTAAAGAACTGCACACAAAAAAAAAATCGATTTTAAGCATTTGTAAAATGTGTTTTATGTGCAGTTTGTACAGCATGACACACACACACACACACAAATGGCTTTATAAGTGCAGATTGCGCAGCACGCATTTGTGATCCTCATGAGACACACACACACAAATTGCTTGTTACAGACAAAACGTTGAACACGCATTTGTAACATTTTTGATAGTATTTTATCTCCATACTAACTGCAATTAAAACCATTAAAAATATTGTGCGATAGTAGTTGCTTATGTAAAGTGGCTGTACTTTGAAGAAGCAGCAACAAACTCTTCTGTGGCTTTATTCTGACAGATGGTAGCATAGCAGTGGACCTGCATGTGATTGACTCTCGGACATCTGACCTGACACACTGATGAGACTTGCATAATAAAACAGCTGATCTTCATCAACACTGAAACAGAAACACCTTGTTGTCATCCTCTTAATGAGCATGTGTGTGTAATAGGGTTGTAGAAATTCAGAAGTTTGTCTTCACCCTGGTTCTTTACATTGTGAAAGTGGTCCTTCTGACTGAGCAGTGTGTTTAGAACTGGAGAGAGATTTTGAAAACAGCTGAGGTCAGTGGTCTGGAAAGAGCTGGGTGGGATAAACACCAGCGGGAAACCCGGAGCAACATACAAGCCACTGCAGCCACTATGTAAACTAAAAGCTCAAATATACTTAAAAGGACAATCCTGAGCCTGTTTTCTCTTCATACTGGTGAGTGGAAATGAGCTGGTTTAAAATCACAGTAAGGTTTATGGAGTCGCATCATACAGCTCTTTAACTTTAGCTTTAGTTTACATTCACATTCCAGCCTGTGCCTTTAACAAAGCAGAAACAAAGTAGTGAAGATGTGTGTTTGTCATAGCAACTGGTGGCTGGAAGGATGCGAGTTTGCATTAACCAAATTTGAAGGCAGCCTCTATAGCTGCTTATTAAAATAACTCTGTGAGGATGTTGACCACTAGTAGCACTATGGAAAAATATTTTGTTTACAAGGGTAACATGGAATTAGTTTCTTACTGTAAACAGATTCCACATAAAGACCAAAATCAGCAATGATTTTATGAGTATTTCCTGTTACATCTCCTTTTTCTGTATGAATTGTCAGTCAAAACTATTAAAACTGTGGCTTTCAGTGCAAGACCAAGTGTAGCACTGGGAAATGTTTTTATGTTATAATGAACATGGGTAATGTAGTTTATTTTGAATCAATCCCACATAACACTGTTCTGCTACCATAAGCTGTTTTCATAAATGAACTCCACACTATGTCTGTGGAGTGAAGGCTGGACTTTGTCCAGAGTTCCCCTTAATTTTGTCTGATGGTTCTGGCACCGTTTTTTAAAGATGGAAGTTCCCGAATCTCGTTATGTCTCCAGTTAGACATTTTTGTTGGTGTCTTCACTGACCATTTTTCTACACCATTGGATTTTGGCCATGTCCCTTCTCTTATTCTGTGTCCCACTCTTTTGGGTGACTCGGGGCTTGCTGAGATGAGATGAGATTACAACCTTGGAGCCGCCTGGCAAAATGAAATATCCGTAAAAGCTCTGTCAAGATGAACTGATGTAATTTTGGACATGAAACGGTGCAAACCTCAGAATCTAGATGAGTCTTGGATGTGTTTTATCATTCAAACAAAAGCAGCTGCTAAGACTAGTCAACGTTCTTCACACTGCTCAAAGAACCGTATTCATTTAAAGAACAGTTTTTTTTCTCTTTGTGCCCTAACAAAGGTTTTTGAGCTGTGTCCATATTATTCACTCCTGTCTCTATTTTTTTTTTATCACATTTTCATGAATGTAGCTAAATAGCTCACTAGATTTGTGGTAAGATGATGTCCTTATCCACTGGTCGATTGTTTCTCCACCTGGTGGAAGCAGCTGTCAGTGCACACAAAAACAGGTGTGTCTGAATAGCTGAACAATTGTGGTGTCATGTGCTGAAATAATTTGGCTGGCTAAACACAAACATTTATTCTTTCTATATATAGTGCTATATGTTTACCTGCAAGATTGGCTTCTATAATGGCTACCACGATGCTATATACCAAGTCACGTCATACCATATTTTTTCAGATTTTCCCTCTGACTTCATCTTTTTTTTTTTTTTTTTTAGCTCTGTCTCTGCATGTACAGTGAGTCAGCAGCCTGCAGCACACACCTACATACACGTACACAGAAACACCTGTTTAGCTTCAACTCTATTGGCCATGGAAGGGACTCATAAGTGCTGTCCCTTTTTTCCATTTGTTGGCACAGCGGCCATCAGCCAGTACTCGCTCACATCCTCCTGATGCTGCACATGCTCGCTGCACTGCAGTGAGCCAGCATTTACTTCAGACTGAGAAGTAGGAGGGAGATGAATGGGTGAGACGGACTGTTCAAGGAATGCAAGTGATGGGAGGAGAGGAAGGCAGGGGAGAACGTAAGCAAAGGAGGGAGGGGGAGAGATGATGTAAAAACTGAAACATTGTCCCTCGTTAACTTTGCTCATGTGTGTGTGCACACACCCATAAACACACAGAGAAGCACTCGCACATTTTCTGTCACATCCTCTTTGGCTCGTTGCTGCTACCAGGAATGGAAGGTGACATGAACTAAAGGCAGCTTTAGAGGGACCGTAGTGACTGTTTCACTCATATGGAGCAGGTATTTGGGTCATTCTACTGGAGTGGATGACGCCTGTTGAGCCATAGATGCAGCATTGTACATGTAAGTTACCCTGTTAATAGCAATGGTGTGGTTGTACTGGCCATTTGGAATATCTGTTGTTGTCTTGAGCTCATATTTCTGCATGATTCCAATTATTTTTTTCATGTAGTCACTAATATTTTCCTTTTTCATATGGACCCTCCACGGCATTTTGGATGACA